CACTTGCTGAGAGAGCCAGGAGGACAGGAACCCTTTCAGGACTTTGGAGTTTGCTGATACAATGGAATAATCCCCAGAAAGTAGCCTACCAACTGTGACCTATTTTCTGCCCTTATACATGTACATAGGAATCCAAATGGTTTGATTAAATATAGTCTCTCCTGGTTCTAAAGGGAACACTTTTCAGCATGGAGTATAGAGAATTATCCACATGATTCCTATTAACATTAATCGAGGGGAGGGGGTACCAAGGCATTCCCCATAGCCTGAGCTGCAAATGTACCACCAGTGCTTGGTACAAGGACATTTCTTCCATATATAGACCATCTGGCTCCTAGTATTATCCAAGTGCATAAAAACTAGTGTTATCCAAGTGTATGAAAAATGTTAGAGGCAGCTGTACCTAGTTCAATGCTTCTCAAATTTTACTTTGCATTAGAACCACCTAGTGAATTGTTGAAAATGGAGATTCCTAGGGCAGTTTTCAGGAATTTCACTTTAATGAATATGGGGCAGGGACCAGGAATCTTCACCGTTAGCATGCATTCTACATTTTTAATTTTACTACACTCAAAGGGCACGGGAGGGGAAAGAATCACACAAACACATGTACACAATTGGGTGGAATTGGAATTCTGGGTCTTCATTGCGGAAAAAGTCACTTTATTTCTCGTAACTTTTGATCACCAATTATGAGAATTTTGTCAGCATCAGAGATTTCTTTTCAGGATTACATGTGATGAAGTATGTACAATGACCATCATAATTCAACAATTGTGGTTTCATTCTTCCTTTTATACTGTCCAAGAGATAAGTCCTCAACAGAAAAGGCTGGCTGTCAGCAAATCTCCCTCATGTCATCCTGTATACTCAATGAGGGAGATACTCAGGGAAATATGTGGGAAGGGCCCTGGCTGTCACAGAGAAGGGAATCTCTGAAAAACAGTTTCTGTGCACTGGATGCACACCTGAAACTCACTGAAGCTCTTTCTTCTCCTATAATATCAGGCAAATAACATCTACCTTGTAGAATTATGAGGATTGAAAAATATGATTAGTGAAACACTTAGCACAACCCTCAACCCGTCACACTCTGTAGTCAGGGCTTAATAAATGACAGAATCTATAATTTTTTTCCATTCATTTATTCATTCATTCCACAAATAGTTACTGCATACCAGGCATGGCAATGGTTGCTGGCTTAGACAGTCAATACACATATTTCCCACTTTCATAAAGCTTACAATTGAGTTGAGGCCAAACAAGCAATTAAATACTCTGTGTTGAGTAATGAGTGTCTTTCCCAGGGCTGGCATTCTCAGAGGCAACTACAGGACTCAAGAAAAAGAAAAGCACATTACACAGAATAGTGGCATGATAGGAAAATATTAATGAAAAACACAATCACTTATATGTGTTACAAGCTTACTTACTAAGTATATGTTATTAACTTTCTAGGATATTGGCCCATATATTTTCCCAACACAGATCCCTTAATTCTGTTACTGATAAGGGTTATGACTGAAATTATCCGGAGACACAAGACTCATCCAGATGACTCAGGCAAGCAAGGATCCAGGATCTTGCTAATATATCAACAAACTCTTGTTACTTTGTTTTCTTGCTTTATACTCTAGCTAATGAAATTGTTTCACCATTAGCGTGGTACCAGTCCTCTTTTATTCGTACTCTATTTTAAACAAGTTTACCCACTCTTTTGCCCAAGAAACTTAATGAATTGGGCTTCACAAATTTCCTGATGAACCCCATATACAAACTACAAACAGGAGGGAAAGCCCTCACCCCCTACATCCACTTCTATAGGACTTAAAAAATAACCTGTATTGACAAGATGTTTCGTCCTCAGTCAAACCAGTCCAAGCTCTTTCCTAATAAGCCAGTCATGCCTATTAATTAAATAACCCAAGTTAGTGAGGATGGAAGCAGAGTACTACTTTTATTCACAACCCACTTGAGGGATAGGGCCACGTTTAATGACACAGAAAATAGTAGTCCATAGCCATCAGCCTACAGTTTAACCAATACCTTTAGCCCAATACAGAGAAAGTGAGCAATGATCCATGGAGAAGGATGAGGTACGCAATGTGCATATGAGTAGTCTCCAGTATGGGGTGGATAACTCACCAGTCAGGCTCTCCTGTTTCCTTGGGGAAATTTGTCCCAGAAAATGATGGGAGAGAAAATGGCAGGCACCATCATGCACCATTCTTCACAGCCCTCTGACATTCTAGTGTCCAGAAGCAATGGGCAGAGCTCATTCCCACAGTCTGAGAATAGTCCCTACTCTGTCTCCTTGGTATCCAAGGTCTTCTCCCCAATCTTAACAATCACAAGATACATGGGACATGGACCTGTTCTTAACAAATTATTGTAGGCACTAAACTGGGGGTTTCAGAGTGATATAGCTGGTCATAAAAATGTGAACTTTACCCTAGTTGAGATGGTTCCTTAGATGTGATTGGACCTGTGGGGTTCGGGCTGGCAAGCTGGAGAATAGGAGGCCTGATAATACAGCACTTCTGTAGTTTTAAATGGAAGAAATGTCTACATATGGTGGCCCAGAAAAGGCATCCTTATAGCATTTTTTTTTTAATGCACACATAATTCAACTTAAGTTGAAATAAGCTATGCGCACCAATTTCTAGAAAATTTTTAAACTCAGTCTTCTGGGGGAATAAAAACCCAGGAATTCTACATTTTTTATCCTCCCATTGTTAAAGTTAGTAGTTAGTATGATTTGGTAGAAGAATGGCTTCCCTTGGGAAATTAATGTGGCTCTTTTATGTTAAACGGGTCAAACTGAATAGATTGGAAGTATTTGGCCTTGGAAGGTTTTCACAGTGGTTATTTCAGTGCATGTTCAGATCCTTAGCTATTAGCAGATTTTTTTTTTTTCTTTTTGCCTGGAACTTCCTTCAGCAAATAATTGCATGCTATAGAAGTGTTGTGCTCTCAAATCTTGTTTCCAGTAATATGTGAAGCGAGCCATGCTGTAAATAAAAATTAATCATTTTTCAACATCTAAGCAGCAGCTCCAAGTGCCACATGGGAAATGAATTACTGCCTTTGGTCCTGAACAACATCACATAAATCATTTAAAAATTGATTTTGTAGCTACAGAATTGCAGGTTTTTGATAAGGGCCTCCCTCCATCCTGTGTAATCTCCAGGTCATGAACCTATGGGAAATAAAGGGTTCTGCTAAATTAATGGATCTTTCTGATCTGTTTTATTATCTGCCCACCTCTATCCAACTTTTTCGTTACCTTTCCATTGACCTTTGCTCAGAGAATTTTAAATATTTTTCTAAGTCAAAGATAAGAGCAACAGAAAAGTCTGTTTTCTTCTGAAGTGAAAGGTACATTCACAGGGTGTTTTATTACTAATAAGCAGTGTACTGTATGGTAATACAAAAAGCATTGGCCTTAATACCATAAGACCTAAGTTTGAATGCTCAATCTTAATAATCTTAGGAAAATGAGAATAAGCTATATTATACTGCAGTAATGGACAACTGTAAATATTCCAGTGGCTTAAAATAACAAAGATATATTTCTTACTCATGCTGCATGCCCATCATCTACTCCACATTGTCCTTACTTCAGGATACAGGATCCTGGAAAAATCCTCCTTCTGACGCATAATTCATTGTGACACAGTGAAGAGAAGATGACTTAAAGGCTTCCATCAAGAAGAACACATTCCTCTCTCACTTACATTTCATTAGCAAGTCATGGCCACATCTAACTTCAAGAGAAAGATCATGTGTACCATCCCCTGTGCCCACAAACACCCTCTAAGCCTCAATTTTCTTACCTGCAAAACTGTACAGTATTGCTATCCTCTGGGTTTGGCTAAAATTAATGGTCATTAATGAAATATGTGCTCTGTCTATGTTGAATTATAGCTAGCACTGGGTCACTATTATATGTTATGTATCATGCTGAGGATGCACTGCATTATTTTGTATTCACAAGCTGGCCATCATTATTGCCATTTTATAGGTGGAGCTGAGGGTTGGAAAGGCTAAGTGACTTCCTCATAAATCAACCAGCAAATAGAGGAGCCATGGTTTAAGTCACCCTCATCAACTGACTCCTCAGTCTATGCTTTTGACTCTGCTCTGTAGGTCTTATGAACTTTAAGTCATTCACTGAAGGAGTGTTTACATTATGAAACCACTTTAGAGTTAGCATGGCCATGCCATGAAGTTATTTCAATGCTAAAATATTTTACCTTCTTGGGAATTACAGGAGGGCCATTTGCTAAGGACAGCATTACTGCACTGATGCTTGGGTACCTCTGTGGCCACTTCATCCTGTGTTCCCACGTTTCTCCCCAAACTTAGCAAGTGGTTGAAAGAGGTGGGAGGAGAGCTAACTATGGTCAAAATTTTAGCAAGTCTCTCATATAATATCTGTATCATTTGTTTAGGGCAAGCTGGCCTAGAATTGCTATTTTGGACTCCATGCCCACCAGTTCCAACCATATATGCATTACTAGAGCAAAAGCTCCATGAACAACCTGTCACGTTCTGTCATGAATCAAGAACAGTTCCTAGTGCAATTAGGGACTCAAGAAATGTTTCTTGAATGAGTAAATGCATACTATTATGTTTTGTTTTTATAAAAATACAGAATTAGTGTTTCTATATCATGGCTTCAAAATGGTTTACAAACCAATAGATCAAATATACTAGAAATGTTAGAATTTTGTTCATTTGATATTCAAGTCAAATGTTGCTGGAATTTCCGATGAATCAAAGACTGGATTTGCCAGTTGATCTTATTCAGTCCACCATTGGGTTTAGTTATGATAAAGACTCAAAAAAATCTATAGTAACCTCTCACCTGGAGAAGAATGAAAAGCATTGGTTTAAAGAGACAAACTACTTATTCATTGTTTCTTGCAGTAGACCAATAGCTGTGATAAGCATTGGCAATATCATAATGAAGAGAGAAGACGTATTTCCTGTCTTCCAGGAGCTTAGAATTGTGGAGCAAGTATTACAGATGTACTACACAAAGGAAGGCAAAATTGTAAATTTTGATAAGAATAGTAGAAAAGTCATCTTCTCTTACCCCAAATTCTTCCCATCATCATTTTCTCTTTCTCTTAAAAAGACATGAGAAGAGAAATGTTCACATTCACTGAAAAACACAGTGCAAAGACTCTGAGTGGCATTGTTATGCAGAACCCACTCACACATTTTTCTCTTTAAATAATTCATTCACACCTGCAAGCAAATAAGAGCATGGGATCTCTCTCCACTGAATGGCTGACATAGAGCTGCCTCATCTTTAGGATCTACCAGACCTCCTCTCTGAAACTAACATTGCCTAAATATCTGAAAGAAGTAACTCAAGTCAGCCAAGTGAGACCTTGAGATTGAAGTCACCCAAAACAGCCTAAAATTTTCATCACATATTGTTTGAAATTTTCAACCTCAGTAGAACTCCAGCAAAATCCCAGTCGAGCAGTTTCTAATACATTCTGATAGATTGGTGCCCCTGCTTGGTACAAAAGAGAAACCTTTTTAACCAAGAGGGAAAAATAACCAATAAATGGAATCTGAAGGGAGCTGAGAAATGATTACCTCTGCAAGCACAAGCTGTTAGTGTGTGTGCAGAATACTGATGGCCTGGGCTTCTCCTGTTCCTAATGGAAGAGACTCCACAGGGACTTGTGAGTAATTGATCTCCACACATCCAGCAAGCATGCCCCAGACTCGCCTTCAGTTAGTGTGATAGACTGGCCTACCTTCCTACTACAAAAGATTCTCCACAGTCAGGATTTTTCAAAACACAACAAGGACCATTTTGACCTGGTTCCATTGCTTCCATCATGCGTTTAACATATTTAGATTGTAAAGAAAAACTTGTAAGAATGCTTCCATCTCTCTTCCTTCCTGTTCTTCACTCAACTCTATTCCCTGCTGTGGCTACATTGAGTAATTCTGCCCCTTTTAATTTGTGGATAGAAATAAGATGAAAAGTTCTTACATTCTTAGGTCTGACTATGAGGAAGGGAAAATTGCATGCCTCATTTTCTTCAGATATATAAAATAAGTCACCTTGTTTTAGAGATTGTGGTTACATGTAGGAAATCTAAATTTAAAACACACACACACACACACACACACACACACACACACACACACAATTTCTTATTTTTGAAAGGAAAGGTCAATAATTCAGCAGACTCTGTCACAACTAGAGACGAAAGACACCCAAAGTATCATTTCCTCTTCTCTTTTACTGGAACCTTAAATTCCTGTTGCCTCTCCTCCAGTGACTGTGAGTATAACTGACATTAATTTAAATGTCTTTGAACTTACTTAGTCATCGGCTTTGGCAAAGAGGGAATACTTACAAAAGGAAGTTCACTTATTTTAGTTGTTATCGTTAAAGCTTTTGTTTCTGATCAGCCTAAGTCAATCAGAGTAGGTTGGAAACCCATGAGACAAAAAGGTGTTAAATTGATTTGGGGAGGTTGATCAAGAAGCTGTTATTTGTCTTCGACGTTGAGACCACAGACCTGTCTTCTATGGGGTATGGACCTCTGTAGCTGATCTTGATTTTCAGTGAGCTCTGGACAGCCCTTCCCTGGTTCCCTTTTGTGATTGGTCCTTGAGGAATAGCTTGACAGAGTTAAATGAACAGGTTGTGAGAGTAATTCACATTTGTCTATAATAAGAAATGAAAGAGAGAGAGAAAAAAGGAGGGGGGCGATGGGAGAGAGAATCAAGCCTCTGTTCACTTTCTTGGACTAAGGAAATGAGTCACTCTTAATATGTAAATGTGTTAGGTTGCAATATATTTAAAGTGTTCAGGTATAAGTTGTTCACACTGTACTTAATATCAGCCAATTGAGTTCATGATCAACTTTCTTAGGAATGAAACATAGAACACATACTATTTTGGTAAGAAAGATGGTTGAAAAATATTCTAAATGCCATCTAGTGAGAGGTCCCTGGGCAGTCAGCAGTAACCGTGGGAGCATTGAGGGTCTTTGTAGAAACTAATAGAAGATGTATGGCCAAGGAAAAATTAAAGTGCATTTACTTGGTATGCTAGCCCAAATTATTTGCCCAGGTTTTCACAAAAAGACTATTGTTTTAAAAAATCAAAATCAACCTAAGGAAAATAAAGTTTTGCTATGTTGGCAATACTAAATTAATCTCCGAACCCCAAGAAAAGAGGATCCTGAGAAGAAAAGATTCCTTTATGGGTATAAAGATTGAGAAGGGGTTAGCAGGGCGTGGTGGCACATGCTTGTAGTCCTAGCTGCTTGAGAGGCTGAGGCCAGAGGATTACTTGAGCCCAAGAGTTCAAGGTTGTGGTGAGCTTTGGTTGCATCACTGTGTTCCAGCCTGGGGAGCAGAATGAGACCCTATTTATAAAAATGGAAAAAGTTAAAAAGATTGTGAAGAAAGGAATGGGAAAGAGCTCTGACAATGGGATAGAAAGAAATGGGGTTGAAAGATACTACCTTTCAAATAAGGTAATATCTAGAGGGTAGGACGTCTACTGTTAAATGGATCTCTATGTTGGACAGGTATGGGAGGGGCTGTTGAAAACAGTGAAGACCCAAACGTTTAGGTCTTTCAGCAGCCAAGTATTTGTAATGGAAGGCTGCTTTATCTCCATGCTTGGAAGTGATCCAGCTCAGAACATCAGCTGGGAATATCACAGACAGGATTTCTCTCATTAGTTGAAAAGATTGATTCTATTACTTCTAGGGTGCATTTCAACTCTGAGCCATCCAGAAATCTACATTAGAGACTGCTTATGGACTTTCTCCAAAGTTATAATAGTAATGCTTCACACCTGTCTTCATTGGCTCAGCATCTCTGAAGGGAGGTCTCTTTGTAATACATCCCACAATTTATAATAATTCATCTATAGAACTGTGCCAAACTCTAAAGAAACTGGATGAGAAAAGTATTGTTTTTATTTTTTTTTCTTTATTATTCCATGACAACCACTGGGGGATATCAACAGGAAGACTGTCTTGTTGTTGTTTTCAGTGGAGTCTCACTCTGTTGCCCAGGTTAGAGTGCAGTGGCACAGTCTCAGCTCACTGCAACCTCTGCCTCCTTGGTTCAAGTGATTCTCCTATTTCAGTCTTTCATGTAGCTGGGATTACAGGCACCTGCACACCTGGCTAATTTTTGTATTTTTAGCAGAGATGGTGTTTCACCACGTTGGCCAGGCTGGTCTCAAACTCCTGGCTTCAAGTGATCCACTGGCTTTAGCCTCTCAAAATGCTGGTATTGCAGGCATGAGCCACCGCACTTGGCCAGGAAGATTGATTTTATACCGAAAAGATCAAAGGCCTTACACTTTAGCCAAATCCAGAACCCCAAGCAGGGTCTTGGGTGGAGAGGGAGGAAGAAATGACAGGTATGAGCCTTGGTACAGGAGATCATATTTCAAGTTTTAGGGCCAATCTGGGAAGGAAATATGAATGTCAGTTACTTTCTTTCATTCTGATGTCTGAAGGTAAGTGCTTCTCACACGTTGAGAAGTACTTCGTTCCTGCTCTCGGCATGCCAGCACTCACAGATAGTGACTAGAACCCATCCCAGAGACAGGCACACTTAATGAGGGAACAAATTGCTAAGCGCTATATCCGACCTTGGAGATGTCAGTCTGCAGGCAGTCAGGGAAGCCAAGGGTTGTAATTTGAACAAAATGTCACTGTTCAGAGATTTTTCTTTATGTGCTTTTTCTGTGATGATAAATCACAGGCCTGTGCAGGGGATAATAACACAAAATGTTTGACAGCTTTTCTTACAATTGTTTGGCATTCTGTTTGCCTAATTATTGTCAGCATCACCCACGCTGGTATATTGTTGAAGAGAACTGTAGTGCCTGTCGGAGCAAGCACCCGCCATTCTCTTTTCCTCCTCACTCTACTGCTGTCGCTGTGATTACAGTTTGGGTATTATCCATCTTTGCTGTGGGAAAGGCTTTATTCATCTTGCGGTCCCGTGTCCATGTGGACGTGTGGTTGTGCCATCCAACCAGATGGGAAGACAGAGCAGAAAAAGGAGAATTTCATGAAGGTCAAATCAAGAAAAAGGACAATTTAGTTCAGTTAGGTCCTTTGGCACACTGAGGGATGTGCAGAGAAATCACTTGCTTTATGGGTTTGGATTGGGAAATTATCTATTTATGTAATCACACTGCTTTGAAAGGGAAGGGAATTAATTGCTTTAATTAACTCCAGTAAAGACTAGATTGTCACAAGGGGAGTGTTGATATAATGTGCTTTGAGTGATCTGATATACTCTTGGAAACAGTGGCTGGAAATAGTAGCTATCTCTGTAATTGTTCTCTTTCCCTGGGACCTCACTGATGATGTTCCTGCCATAAACTAGGCTGCCTAGAGGGTCAAAAAAAGGAAAGGTCAAAAAAAAAAAAAAAAGAGTGGTAAACAGCACATTTCCATAATTGCCATTGATTTTTTCAGGAGTTTCATTATCATGCCTTTGGTTTCCTCTGATTTGGGCCCATCTAATTTTCTACCAGTAGCTGATTGCAAGTGAAAGGGCATAAGAAGTATGCTTGTGTGTTAGGAGGGCACTGGAGTACACCAGTGAGCTAAGATCTTTTTATTTTTTTTTTAATTGTTATTTTCTTCTAATGAGCTAAGATCTGAAAATGATTTTCATCATACATTTAGTGAAAGCCCAATTAAAAAGGTTGTAGTAGACCGTATATTTAGATTCAGGCTGAGAATTATGATAATATATAATAAATACCCATATTAGATATATGTATTTGTTATGATTATTCATTTTAATTTTATTTCTTTACTTACTTGATGGGTTCAGTCTTATAATTTGTCAGGTGAGACTTTTGAGACTGACTTGCTGATGGGCTCACCTGCTGTTCTAAAGGTAAGCAGGGTTCTCCCCTGGCAAGTTTCAGAAAAGGGAAGGCAGCCAGAGTGATGCAAAAGCGTGTCCCAGGCAGCAGATTAGAGGGATGCACTCAGCATCCCCAACCCTGTGGATGCAGGAAGTACCCTTGGCCTCAGGCATCCTGCAGGCCTAAAGTGTGTTTGGGGAAAGCCCAGCTCAAAATCTGATGATAGGCCTGCAGCCTTCTCTAAAGACTTTTTTTTTTTTTTTTTTTTTTTGCCTGCCCTCCATTGCCTGGCTTAGCATTAGGAAATGTTGAGGGATTTAAAAAACAAAAAACAAATAAAGCTACTAAGCATCTTTTATGGAACAATAACATGTTCAAAAGAGAGTAAATAAGACAGAGGAAACAAGAATATTAAATGTGTCCAATAGAAAGCTTTAGACGTAAAGATAGAATCACTCCCATTATGGACCCATTGAAAAGAGGACTGTCAATTACATTCCTTTTGGCATTTTTTGGTCATGTAAATGCATATGCATGTATATGTATACATCATAATTATCATACATTCTTGAATTCATGGAATTATATCTTAGCTAGTGAGCCTTAGTCTTAAAACACATTAGAGTAACCCCATCTCAAAAAGGAATTGTATATTCCACACCTCTCCTACCCTCTTCCACAGAGTGTGTGATGTGTCCTTAAGAGTGTGTTGACGTCATTCAGTTAGGAGTGGGAAGGACCAATATCACCGGATGTTCATTTTGGGAGTCAAGTAAAAATGCAGTGTGTCTTATAGTTTTAGAAATTTCTTACAAGATTATGCAGATATTTCCAGGTCATAATCTCACTGTGGTTATCCATCCTGTGGCTTTTGTTAGATTTCCGAGTTCCCATACAGCACTAGGACCAGTCCCAGGGCCTGTCAACATTGCTCTTCTAGTGTGCAGACTGACATCTCTGGACTATGGCCCTAAATTCATTTCTGATACACATTTGGACACAAGGATGGTGCCAGAGAGCACCAAATGGAGTACTTCCTTCCATCTTTTTGGTGCAAGTTTCTTGGGCTCAGGGTGCATTTCCTTGACTAATTGATGTGAAAAGTATAGCATTTTGCTTATTTTTCTGCCACAAGCCTTGCCTCATAGATATGTTTGGGGGATACGGTGATAGTCTGCTCTTAACATAATTTGTCAACCAAGGCAAAGGAGATACCCTCAGTCTTTTCATCATTCTCTGAATTCTGCACGTATTTTCCACAACAAAATTATGAGGTGCTAGAGCTGCAGGCTTTCGCTGTACAAATAAGAAAAATGAACTCCAGAGAGGTGAAGTAACAGAACCAGTCTCATTATTGCAAGAAGAGAACCTGAAGCAGTGAGGTTTCCTGACACTTGGTCCAGAACACATCCCCCCTACTCCACGTCTGCCTCTTTTTGGTAGTGGAGATCTTCTCTGCACAAAATAGTTTAGAAGAAATGTCGTACAGTTTCCCTTTGAATGTACGTGGTGAGAGATAGTCCAATAGCTGGGTGGCATTGTGAGCTTAGAGGACCTCCCAGAAGCTGAGGATCTGTATCCCTGCCATGGGCTGCATCTCCAGCTGGTTTTCTGCCCACTCACAGCCTGCAAGTGTGCAGATGGTGAGGATATCATCATTTCCACCATGGGGGGTGGGGAGGGTTGGGGGGAGAAGAGGCACTTTCATTTAAGTTTATTTCGAATTCCTTCTTGTTTGTCTTGTTAACATTCTCTCACATTTGCAGACATTAACCAACAACTAGGAGGAAAAAATTCTTGTTTTAAGCACAAACATAGAGAAATGGCATC